CAGCCCACAGTCACCGTCATTAGCTTGGCATTATGAGGGTTGATAATTAATAGACCTGCAACATAACCAGTGCCACTTCAGACAAGCTCAAGTACAAAATGGTGCCATCCACCTCTTCCCCTCCCCTTTTCTCTTTTACAAGAAGCCTCATGGTTTCAGAGAAAATGAAACTTTTGGGATTTGCACATGCACAGAACTCTCCATTCCCATGACCTGACTCAATCCCCACCCCAGAATCACATCACCCAGCTCTTGGCGCCAACATACCTATATAAGCTCTACCACCCCCACACTTGGTGCTGTCCCCTTTTCAGGGCAGCCCTGGGCTGCCTGCTCCTTTGAGCACAGCCCAGCAGATTTTCTTCCTTTAATAAAGCTTGAATGGTACCTGGCATCTCAGCTCACTTTCTTTCAATATTTATTATGGTAAACGTGCTACTGCAACCTTGCCATCCTGTGTCCTGCATCTTCTGACTTTATAGGAGCCTGAGGTGTCCCTCTTTCCCTTCTTGTCATAATGCAAGAATAAAGTGTTCATTTGTTCATTCATGACACATTTACTGAGTCTTTTCTGTGCTAGACAATGTCTGGGTGTTGAAGAAACATTTGTGAAAAAGATAAAATGTCAGCTTTTATAGAACTTTCGGGGTGGGGAAAGATAACAACATATGTACAAATAAATAAGATAATCTCAGGTAGTATTAAGTTCTATGAAGACCATACAAAAGCATAGTGGATGAGGGGAACTTTGGATGGGTGAAGGGTACATGAGAACATTTGAAGCAAGAAGGAGTCAGCTGGGCGAATATCCAGAACCACTCCTTAGCCATTAGCCACGTGAGGCTATTGAGCACTTGAAATATGGCCAATTTGGATCGAGATGCCCTGTAAGTGTAAAATATACCCGGATTTCAAAAACTTACTATTAAAAAAGCCCGAAGTATCTCATTAATATTTTTTTCTGTTGGCTACATGTTGAGATGATAATATATTGGACATATTGGATAAATAAAATAGGAGGGTACTTCAAAAAGTTCGTGGAAAAATAGAATCGAAAGACAACACAGATCTTTCCATGAATTTTTTGAAGTACCCTCGTGTATTATTAAAACTAATTTTTCCTTTTTCTTTTTTTAATGTACCGACTAGTGTGTGTACATGGAAAGTTGCCTATGTGGCTCGCGTGTGTCGTGTGCATTGTATTTCTATTGGGCAGCGCTGGTCTAGGGAAAAGCACCTTAAGGAGAGAGAATGGCAAATGTGAATGTCCCGAGGCAGGAACTGAAGGAGGCCAGGGCAGAGTGGGTCAGGGAGAGAGTGGCTGAAATAGGAAGGACCAAATCCAGTAGGACCTCGGTGTCGGCTCTGAAAGGCGGTGGGTTTTAATCGAAGTATAAGGGGGAGGCAGTTTGAAGCAGAGAAGGGCATGGTCTGAATCGACAGATCCCTGTGGCTGCTATTTGGAGGACAGACTGTGGGCTGGCCAGGTGGAAGGTCAATTGCAGCTTTCCTGTGGAATGAAAGACAGGGCGTTGTAGGAGGAAGAATGGTGGGTTGCGATATTGTCTGAGCCACAGTCATCTGTGGCCCTGCCTTCCCCTGGGACTCAGTTTCTCCACCTCTAAAATGGGGCTGGTTGGGCTGCTCTCCAGCTTCAGCATCCCAGAGCCCAGGAGGGGCCGGTAGCCCTGCAGGAGCGGCCGCGGGCGCCAGGGGGCGCCTCCTCGATGACTCGGCGCTCGGCTGGCCAGGCGCCGGCGCGTCG